CATCAACTATGACAACAGACTTGAAATACACATACAACATGATGCCATCAATTAACCAATGCGAATACGTGACCAGCGATTTTATTGATGTCGTCAACAACAACAACATCAAAAAAAACAACATAAACTACAGCAGCAACAACATCAACAACAACAACATCTTCTTCAACAACAACAACAGCAACAACAACAATTCGGCAAGATCAACTCCAAGCCACAACTACCATAACTCCAGTATTTTCAACCTAAAGGCTAAAAAAATGATCAAGAATAACAAAAATAATAATAAAAACAATAATAACAACAATAACAATAAAAACATGAGGCCACGGGACACTCCAAATTACATACCCATGGTTTATAACAACAGCAAAAACATCAACAACAACAACAACAACAACAATAACAACAATATTTACAATGATAATAACAATAATAATAATTATGATGATAATAATAATATTAATAATTTTTATTATGACAGTGTTATTAATAATAATATTAATAGAGACGATATTTATGACAGTGTAAGTAGCCTGAGATCAAACCTGAGGGTAAGATCTCAATACGGTCCGGATCCATTGTACATGAACATCAGCAACTTGGCTTATGGCATCAATAATAATAATTATGATAATAATAAATGATAATAATAATAATGAATAATAATAATAAATAATAATAATAAATAATAATTAATAATAATAATAACAATAACAATCGCTACAACAAGGGCGCCTAGAACAACTTAATGATGATTTAAAAATGTCGATTGTGCATTGAGCTTATTGAATTGTTCAAAGTAATATGAAATGAATTTTTGGCACAAATAAAAATATTAATATAAAAATGATAATATTATTATTAATTATAATAATAATAATATTATTATTATATTATTATTTTTATTTGAAAATTACAATATATTTTTAAGGATTTGTAGATATGTAAATTTTACATATATATATGTACAGTGTACACATACATATAGATAGTATAAATACATATAGATAGAAAATATGTTTACGATGTACGTAGAACTATTCATTTAATTGTTCGTTCGTTCATTCATTCATTCATTCATTCATTCATTCATTCATTCATTCATTCATTCATTCATTCATTCATTCATTCATTCATTCATTCATTCATTCATTCATTCATTCATTCATTCATTCATTCATTCATTCATTCATTCATTCATTCATTCATTCATTCGTTCGTTCGTTGTTTGTTCATTCGTTCGTTTGTTCGTTAATTCATTCATTTATTCGTTCATTCACTCATATTTTCCTCCGTTGAAACCAATGATCAAGATGATGACAACAAACAACAATAATTGCAACAACAACAACATTGATAATAATAAAATTGTTTTGTATATATCTATGGCAAGACGTCATAAAATTTTCATGTAAATGTAAATATTTTTCAAATAAACCCCTCAGCAAGTATATGGAATTTCTAAAAATTTGGTTCGTAAATACTTTGTGTATCTATACATGTATGTGTGTTTTTATGTATGGATGTATATGTGTGCGTGTAGGTAT